GGAAGTCGGCAGAAATTCCTACTGAGCGGGAGGGATGGGGGAGGTACAGCGGAGGGGTGGGGGGCCGCCGGAGGGGGTGGGAGAGGGTCCAGCCCACGCTGCGCCTGGGCTGGGACTCGTCCCGCCGGTGCAGGGTAGCAGGAAACTCTCCGCACACTCACCGGACCTGTGCTAGGACTGGGTCTGGGGGCTCCCAGAACTGGGCAGAAAATCCTACTGGGCGGGCGGGGTGGGGGAGGCACTGCGGAGTCGTGGGGGGCGGCCCGAGGGGCTGGGAGAGGGTCCGGCCCACGCTGCGCCTGGGCTGGGAGTGGTCCCGCCGGCGCAGCGTAGCAGGAAACTCTCCGCACACCTCCACCCATATTCTTTTTATATCATTTGTCTTGACTCCTCGTTGATTCTTACACTGTTAATCTTTGCATTATCTTGCAATGTTGAATTTTTTCCTGCATCGTATTTCCTTTTAAGAGATATTTTCTTACCTTTTCACTAGTTGCAATGGTGTCTTCAAGATCTGAAACTCTATTTTCACCTTCATTACAACAGGCTTTGCCAGCCTGTTATTCAGATTTTAATTTCCTGTATACCTCTGTGAGTCTGCTTCAGCCATTCTATTTCTTTCCTATATTGCTCATTCAAGGATTCATCATTTTTCATTTCGCCTCCATTTTTTCATGAGTGTCCTCGTTAGAAGCACTGAGTAATTCTTTCATTATACTTATTTCTTTACTTGAGATTTTTGTTCTGATTTGGTCTATACCTTTCTGCAGTCCTTTCTTCAGACACTATTAACTCAGAGATTTCATGCATGTGATTTCCAATTTCTTCTATGCTAGCATCTCCTGCATTTGTTCTAGGTGGGTTCGGGGCCTGAGTATGCATTTTCCTCCTTTTCTTAGTCATTTTGTATAGCACTGTCCCCTGACCTTTGGTGCACAGCTTTGGTTCAGCTATTACCTTAGTACCTACTGAAATTCTCACCCAAGAGAGATTATGTGGTTCAGGCAGTTATAGTTTTGTATGTACAATACTACAATTAGGAACACGGATAATGGGTAGTGATAGCAGTTGACAAAGTTTTGTAACTCATGGGTTTGTAATATAGACCACAAGAGTAAACATTATGTCTGTGAGGCTAAGCAGATATTAAATTGGGAATTTTTATTTAAATTAGTTCCCCTAAATTCTGTCTGATCAACTCCCCTTGATGTACAAAGGGTCTTCCCGGCAGAATGGTTCACCCTGGTTATCTGTTGCCCCCCTGTCTTCATCAACAGAGAAAGAGAGAGGATGCTCTCATAGATCTGGGTCTAGCAAAGTGTCTCAGCTTATTGGGTCCACATCTACCAACTTTGAACTCATCCAGATGTGCCTGGGTGCTGTGTTCTTGTTCTTCCTGCTGCAACCTGTGGAAGTGAACCCACAGTGCCCCTCTGGAAAAATGTTCAGCTTCTGGATTAGTTCGTGGGTCTATCCCCTATCCTCTCTGTGGGGAGTTCTGCTGCACAGTTACACACCAGGCCTCCCTGATAGAGGAGATTCCCCACATGTGTGTGGATGGACCCACACAAAAGCTCCGGGCTGGGTGCTTGCTCCAAAGGAATATGTCAAATGTGCAAGCAACCCCCCCCCACACACACACACAAGCCAGGCCTGCACTCTGGCTAGAAACGGGGGCAGGTGCGCAGTCAGAAGGGCCCACACAAGAGCTGGGCCTGGGTTCTGACTGGAAAGGGGAGAGCTTTCACCTTTGAACTACATGTGGGGATTCATACTTTAAGACATAATTAGTTGAAAATGGGAAAAAGTAAACAAAACAAACAAAAGGCAAGCAGTTGCCAGTGCACTGTCACACCAGTGCAGCACACAGAGAGCAGCCTGATTTCAGCCGACCCCGACCCCCACTGGGGCAGAACGCGAGGCAAAGCACTGAACCCTCCATGGCAGGGTGCCTGCTAGGAGTAGGGATGTGCTTCGGAAGTATATGGGAAGTACATGGAGAGATTCATGAAACAGTTATGTCAACCTAAAAAGAAACCGGATGTTCACTCAGCAACACTGAATCACACTGGTCTGTACAACTGAACAGAAATTTACTTACTCTTCCATGCTCTGCCCTGAGAGCTGTAACTATGAAGTCAAATCAGTCAGTTCTTTGATTCTGATTCAGAAACATCAATACCCATTTAGGCTTTGTAAAACGCCTCTCCGGGTGTCCTGCAGCCTGGCTGCGCAGTGATGGCGGGGAGCAGCGGTCGCCCTGGCACCAAGGTCCCCACACTGCCTTTTGCTGAAATGCTGCTCCCTTGTGCACGAAAATGAGGAGGCATCTGGTCCAGTCCACAGGACCTGGGTTGGCATGGGCACCTCATGCCAACTTTGAGAAAATCTGACCAGCAAAACAATGACTATAGAGAACTTTGAGGCGCAGGGTGAATAAAAGTCTAGAAATCTCGGCAATAAGAATAAGGAGTGTGACAGTGGTGACCTTCCCAGGCACAGAGGCTGGGGGCGGCTCTCAGGAGCCAGGCAGTTGGCAAGATGCATCTGCCAGGCTGTGCGGCCGGGGAAGGAGCTCTGGGCAGATTCGGCTCTGTTCTCCGTGGGGCTGCTCAGAGAAGGACCTGGGCAGCCCCACAGCGCACAAGAGGACAGGGCCTAGGAGATGTGAACAGTGGGGGAGCACGGGATGCTCGGCTTGGGTCTGCACATCCCCCACAGCCCATGCAGTCCCAGGAGCCTCCTCAGAGGTGCTCAATCCAGAGCAGATGACGGATGCAATGCCTGGAGGAGGCCGGCTGATGATTAAATCGTCTGCTGATTGGCGCAGTGCCCCCCCCCCCCAATCCCAGCACCCGGCACAACACAGGGATGGAAGGAGGCCGCTCTTCTCCCTGCCCTGCTTGCTTCTGCTGCCTCTGCTCACCGTGAACTGGTTCTCTTCTGCGCTGCCCCTCTGCCGAGCCACCCTGCCTTGGAGCCCGTCGATTCCATGCTGAAGACTCTGCCAACTGTGAGTGAAACAAAGCCTTCCCCTCTGTCAGCAAGGACAGACAAGTAACAAGGATGGGGGGCTTATCCCTGCTGAGGAGGAAAGAAACCTGTGCTACTCTGCTCCTGTGTGGACAGGCCAACTGCACTCGTGTGCAGGGGTAATTCCATCCTCACTTTCAAGACACATGCACAGCTGGAAAGCTTAACCACAGAAAGGCCACTGCAGTGACGGGCGACATCGTTCACCTCTGCATGAAACCCTGAGCCGCTTTCCCCTACTGTGCTTCTCCCTGCCGTCTACCACAAAACCTAAATCATCTCTATGATGACAAACTCTGAAGGCTGACACCTCCCTGGCGGGGCAGGAAGGGGAATGGCAGAGGCACCCAGGGGCTGGGACACAGAACGGCTGTGACGCTTTCCACATTCCCACCTAGTGTACAGAGGAACAGACAGAGAGGACACCTAACTGACGCTGCGTCCCTCTGGAGCCACCCTGGCACGTGGGGCTCACGGGGCCGGGCTGGGGTACTTACCGGCTGCATGGTGCCACCTGCAATGACCACTGCCCGGCATTCCTTCACCACCTGGGCGAAGTGCACAGCTGGGTTCAGCAGCAAGAATTTGAGGCTGCTCTGGCTGAGGCTGCCTGAAGGGAGCAGAGACAGGCAGGGGTGAGCCTGGCACAGGGGTGAGTCCCGGCACAGGGGTGAGCCTGGGTGCCCCGAAGGACACGTACTGGCCAGCACAGGGAGCCCGGTCCGCTTTCCTCTGTGATGAGTGCCATGGTTGACAGTGCTGCCGTGTCCCTTACTTGCACACACACACTCACACCCATGCACACATGCACACACACATACACCAGCAGAGTCAGAGCAAAGAGATATGGGTCCAGGTCACACAGCCAGAAAGTGGCTTCTCCCCCTTAGGGCCCCTGCCCACCCTGGCCACTGGGGGCAGCCATGGGTCACCCCACTGCCTAGCTCCTTCCTGCTAAGCCTGCACAGGTGCGTGTGCTGGAGTCCCTGGGGGGGCTCGGTACCTTGGCGGCTCAGGATGACCCTGCCGTCCTGGCTGGCGGTGGTGAGGGCTGCGAGGAAGCCTTCAATGTGCATCAGTGGGGAGGCGGCCCGCACTGCCCCGACCTCGGCCTCCTCCAGGGGGGCAGCGGGTGCTGCACAGTCAGGAGGACAGCAGATGGGCCCTATGTGAGGCTGGGCCCAGCACTGCCCATCCAGCAGCCCAGCTCATCCTCCTCCCTCTGTCTCACCCTCGGTCACCCCAGGCTGCAGGCTCTGCAGGAAGTGCTGGAGCCCAGAGAGCCTCGACTGCTCCCGGGGTGGTGGGAGGACGGCGCCGTAGCGTTCTGTGAAGCCACAGAGCTGGTGGGGAGGACAGAGGTGACAGCAGGACATGGAGACTCCAGATACCTGCAGCCCGTGTCCTCCTCAGCCTGAGGATCAGGGACAGAGACGAGCTGGGGTCCCCCAGGAGGAGGATGAGGCCATGAGGGCTGGGGAAGCGACCGTACCTTCCTGCTGACCTTGCTCTTCTCAAAGTATCGCTGTATCTGCAAAAGTGAGACCGCCGCAAGGTGTCAGCTGCAGCCTGCACGCCCTGGGGCTGGCCCCCCACCCATCCGGCCCATCTCCTCTCCTCCTCTGCTGCCACCCCAGCTCAGCATCACCAAGTGGCTCAGCACAGCCCTACATCGCAGCCTCCTCACACAGTCCTGGGGCTCTGATCCCCCTGACAACAGAGGCTGGCCTTCTGCTCTCCTTTCCAGTGACAGCAGCTGAGCTGGACATTGAGGAACTCAGAGTTGGATTTAAAAGTAAAAACAAAAAGACATCCTAGGAGTAAAGGCAAACAGAGGCGAGGCCTGGGGCTCACTCCTGCTGGGAGAGCACAGGGTGACTGGTGCGGAGCCACGCACAGCTGGGCCAATCCAGCTGCAGGTTCCTTCCTTCAGTGAGGATCCACTGAACTGTGCCTTGCGAACCCAACTAAAAGAAGGGGACAGACAGGAGCTGGCAGGCAGGGCAAAGGCAGGAGGAAGGACAGCCTGCTGGGAAGTGAAGTCACAGCTGAGGGAGGACCGAGCTGGGACTGGGGCTGGGGCAGCCGGGAGCTGGGGACCGTGTCACGTGGGACTCCAGGGGAGAAAGGAGCACAGGTGACTGTGCAGCAGTGAGCGACAAGGCTAAGTCGGCAAAACCTGTCTGCAGGAGGAAGGCAGTAGTAAAGGGCAGGGCAGGGTGCCACCCGGGGCAGCAAGTAAAGGGCTGCATGTCCCTCAGCCTGCACTCAGGGCACTGTCACATGGCTCCAGGGTCCAAGGCTGTGACAGGTCCCGAGCCTCCAGGGCGAGATGGAGGAGGGAGTGGAGGACAGCGGTGTCCATGTATCCCTGAAAAGGCTCCTCTTCCCACCAAGCCAGCGGAACCTGGCCCCAGAGCCAAGGCTGCCTCATTCCCATGCACACCACTGGGAGGTCCAGGAATTTCCTGTGCCTGTGCTTTGGGTCCTCAGACCTGACTGCTGGATGTCAGGGACTTTGCTTTTCCTTCCTTCTTAAGCAGTCTTAAGCAGTGGCTGCCCAGGGCTGGCACTAAGAAGGACACACGATGCTCCTTGAGGTAAAGAAAGGGCGGCACTTCTACCTTAAACAGGTTGATGCTGTCCACCTGGCTCTGGAAGAGGAATTCGTTGATGGTCTTCAGCTCCGTACCTGAAAGCAGAAGACAGAAGTGCCTTAGGTACTGGCCCCAATCCTGGCTGGGCTCTGGTGACAGAGCAGCCCAGGCTCTCTGGGCCACTGCACAGCCCCATCACCTATCTGAGGGAGGCTCTGTGTATTGGAGTTCTGCTTGATGAGGGCTGGGGACACAGATGTTTCCCATGAGTGGACCTCAGGGGTGTCATCAGCTCATGCAGATGATGTGTCATCTGGTGCTACCTTATGTCTTCCATAACCGCCCGAAAATCCATCCCCAAGCTAGAGACTCAGCTCCGCAAAGGCCCAGAAATTAACATGCTCTGTCCTTCTAGGAGAGGGGCAGGGCTGCCCTCCATTATTTGCTTTTTTTTTTTTAAACCTCTGCAATTAGTTTATTAGTATCATCCAGGACTCAGATGTTCAGTATTCCTCCTGAAATTACATAAACAAATGCAAATGGAAAGAATCCAAGTTAAAATTATATAACAAAACAGCACTCCATCACAAAAGCATGTAAAATCACAAGAACCCTATTTTAAAACACTGGCACTTTAAGAGTGATAATCTCAAAGCCCACAAAATAGCCAAATTTTTCCTTAAACTGCTAAGCAGACAAACATGACTCAATAGTTTTGTAGAGGAAAACTCAAATAAATTGGGTAACCCATACTTAAGATGTGAAACTTTTCTTCTAAATGGGAGACCTTAATACAGAAAATCTATCCTTTTCTAATTTGTGGCCTAACTTTAAAACTTTTATGAGTCAAGTTTCCTGAGCAGCCCATATTTAGATAAATGGGTAAAGGCATAAACACCAACACTTTCGCTGCCTTCACTGTGAATGCTAACCAAAAATTGTAGTCCTGTATTTTAAGCTCATGCTTTTGGGGATATATTCCTGGGCCTCCTTTAATGTGGGAACTGCACAATATAACTGCCATTACATGGTAATGGGAGTTAAGAGTCCTCATGTAAAGATCAGAATGTTATTTTTTTCTATCAGTCCTTCAAGGACAGACTTTCAGATTGCTTGATTCTAATAACCTCATGCTATCTATGAAGAAAACTAATTACATCACAAGACTGCATCTTGTACAGCAATTAACCACTAAGAAGAATATACGCAGTATATTATTTGTTGAAACTGTACTTTCGATTTGATTTGAAACTGTCTCATTGCTATATGTTTATCAATAAAACTTTGAAAAGAAAAAAAAACTAATTAAAAGGGCTATGTGAACTTTATCAATAAGTGAGAGTTTGGAGTTTTATGGATGAAAATGTTCTCAATTTGACTTTTATTACCCCATCGCGGTATGCAGGGCGTGTAGACAGAAGCTTGGCATCCACTAACTATATGAAAAGATAAATCTATTATTTGCTTTTGGACCTTGGGTTCTTACACTCCTGTGCCCCCGGTCTGAGCCCACTGCACTGTCCTGTGCCTTCCTGTCCCCACCCCAGCACGGCCACACTCGGTCATGGCGCCTACCATACTGGTGTCTCTGCATCTCCACACAGCGGTCGTTGATCAGCTGCACAGAGCCCAGGCTCCTCACCTCTTCATTCACACACAGGGTCTAAAGCCAAGAGGATGAGGTGAAGGAGTGGTGTGGTGAGGGACTCTCTCGGCCCAAGGAATGGCAGGCAGGGCATGGCCATGTGCCAATAGCGCAGCACCTCAGCAGCACCCCATGCTGGGACCAGAAGACACGGGCGCGGGGCACCGGGCTGGGCACCTGATGCTGCTCACCTGCCGGGAAGCGAGGGTCACCAGCCAGGTCTCCTTGCCAAAGGGGCTCTTCCGAACTTCTTGCACAAACTGGGCCAGCTGGTAATGCGTCTGGCTGCAGTAGTAAATCTGCTCAGAGCACAGGAAGGGAAAGTCAAAGGGGGACACGGACGGCCCCAAATGCTCTGTGAACAGAGGCCTGAGAGCCTGCAGGAACAGGGAGGTGGCTGCAAAGGCAGGTGCCAAGCGAGACAGCACCACCCCACAGCACATGGCGCTGGGGAGGCCACCCATGCGTCTGCAGCCAGGCCGAGCCTGAGCCGGCTGTGGCCTCTGGCAGGGTGTGGGTCTAGGGCGGGCAGGCAGTGTCCCCACTGCTGCCCAGTCCTGTGGCTGAGTCCCTGCATCTTAGGGACAGTGTAGAGGGAGGGCTGCTCCCAAAGGGTGGAGGATGCAACGGACACTCCCACCCCTCCAGCATTTCAGAATGAAGATAGGAAGAGGAAACCAGTGTGCGCATGTGTGTATGTGCACATGAGTGTGTACATGCATGTCTATGTGTGTATGCATGTGTGGAGGGCAGCCCCACACAGCAGCCTGGGTGTCTTGCCTTCATGACGTGTTCCTCCTCCAGGTCTTCCTCCTCATCTACCCTGAGACGGAACACAGGAAAGTCTTCCCTCAGCACACTCAGCTCACTGAGGGCTGGCAAGTGACCAGAGGAACAAGCCCCAGGCCCTTGCCAAGGGACCTCTACTCCCAGACAGATAGCTGGTGGAGAGCTCGGCAGAGGGATGGCAGAGCCTCTCCCAGCAGCGAGGCTCCCCACAGCCACCAGGCCCATGGCCCAGGCCCCCTGAACTCCGTGGCCCCGCCTCCCTTGCTGCCTGGGTCTGTGCCACCCAGAGAACTTGGGCAGGAAAGGGAAGGGGAAGGAGCCCCGGGTCCCCAAGCCCAAGTCACAACCCAGGAGTCTGCACTCAAAACAAAAACAATTAAGAAAGGCCTGGGATGTAGCCCCGCGTGACAGGCACTGAAGCCAGGCGCCCCAGGTGGGAGGCTCTGGCCCTTGCAGTAGCCAAAGGCCCCATGAGTGAGGAAGACGGAACAACAGATTCAAACATGACAGTCTCCAGGGAAATGCAGCAGGGCACTTGTGATGGCTTAAAACCAGACTCTTAGCATAAGTACTGCCATAATAAACTTTCTGTGACCCCAGAGTTGCAAAAACCAGCCTACATGCAAATCAAGTAACCCTAAGGAGAAAATACACCCTGAGAAAGCAGTGACCTTAAGCAATAGCAGGAAGAAAAAGCCAGATGAAAAGGGAAAAAATAGCCAAATGTACAACAAAAACCTGTTTGACAAGCAGGACATATTACATATTTCTTTGCGTTTTTCCCTCTCTTGTTATATATTCTTCATGTTCTCTGCTTGAGGCTGCTCGCTTGGACTCTGAAACAGGGGTCTGTGTTGATGGTCGCTGAGCTCAGCTAATAAAACACTTTCAAATCTTAATTGGCTACATGGATTCCTGTACTGATTGCAGACCCACAGCAGCTCCAACCTTGGGCTGTGACAGCGAATGCCAGGCCTAGCAGAACACTGAGACATTTGTCAGGGATACAGTGGGAAGACAGCTCAAGGTCCCAGCAAGGGAAGGCCCAGCCTGGAGACAGGAGAGGCACATGCCCGGGTACTGGAGGAATTCAGTAGGAAAGGAAGCTCTCGGGAGTCCTTCAGGGACCCTGGCCAGGCGCCGCTTAGGGAGCTACCTCCCGTTCTGCTCTGGTGCCTCTGGGAGGAGGAAGAGGACCAGAACCAGGAGCAGGGAGGCCTTGAGAGTTGGGGTCACCATGCCACAGGCGTTCCCCCTTTGGGAGCAGGAATGCAGGATGACGGGCAGCGCTGTCTCACCTGCTGGCTGCCCTCCTCTCCTCATCACTCACGTACTCTGCCAGCACCAGCTCCTCCTCCCCGGGATCCAGCTGCTCCAGCTGCTCCGTCCCGGGCCCCTCAGCCAGCACTTCCCGGCTGAGACGGAGGAGGGCCTTGGTCTCCTCTTCTTCCTGCCTCTGAACAGCAGGACCAGAGCAGAAGCCTAGCACAGAGGCCCTGGTCCGCGACAGCCTGGGCCTCAGCCTGGTTGTCACCAAAGATAGCCCCACGTGGCCATGGATGCAGCCTTGCTGCTCTCGGGGGAGGAGCCCAGTTCCAGGCTCTGCATCTCCACCCATCAGGGGCCAAGCTGGGGAAGAAGACTTGGCCCTCGAGGACACAGTGCAGCCTGAGGCCAGGCCACCCAGCAAGTGTCCTCAGTGACAAGGCAGGATGAGGGCACCCACCCGGCGCCGGGCTGTGTGCTTGAGCTGCGCACTGTGGCGTGTCTGCTGCAGTCGCTCCTCTCGCTTCCTCCTCCTGAGCTGCTCCTCCTGGGGGGACAAGGTCCTGAGGAGATGCCTGTGGGACCCTGCCGGCCTCTAGAACACGGGGCTGCGGCAGGCCCCTGGGACAATGGAGTTCAGCAAGTCAGCTGGCTGCATGGGGCGGAAGTCTGCACCGGCCCAGGCCAAGGCCTGCTCAGCTAGCCCTTCCCTGTCCTGAGGGAGCCACCTGTGCAGGGGGTGGTGACTGGGGACAGGGGACCTCGGCTCACAAGGACGCCACCCAGACTCACCCTCACACGCTCAGCCAGGTCCCTTTCCTCCTTCCTCTGTACAAACTGGGTGACCCAGTCTGGCTCTCCTCCTGGGCTGGAGGTGCTGGGGGCCGCAGGGCGCGGGTCCTGCCCCTCAGGCACCGGGCCGGCTCCAGGTTCAAGGAGACAGCGCGCCTCTTCCTGCTGTTTCCTCTGCTCAAAGTCTCGGAGCCAGGTCAGGGCCCCACAGATGAGACTCAAAGACTTTCCCTGTGGGAAGACATGGCTTGGGACACAGGCGCAGCGCCAGCCTCACCTGCCTGTGGGCTCCCTGGGGCCCTGTTCGCTCCGGCCAGTGCTCCGCCCCAGGGAGTATTTCTTCCACTTCTGAAGCAGGGTCTTGGCCCTTCACTTGCCCCTTGACCCACCCCTCCAGCCTTCCGAGCGGTGCAATGACAGGGCGTTCCCCATTTCAGGAGGGGCTTCAAAGCTCTGGCTTTAAAAATTAGGTGGTACCTAATGCTGCTATGGGGACGTTCCTGCCCATCTCCATGCGACCTTATTTGGAGACAGGATCACGTAGATAGCGAACCTGAGACTGGAGGAGCCTGATCCTTCCTAAGGACACTGTCCTCAGGGAAAGGGGGAGTCAGGATGCAGCCACAGAGGGTGAAGAGGGTCCCTAAAGAAGGGAGAGGGACCAGGACACACCCTTCCCTTGCAGCCTCCAGTAGGGCTGCCCTGCTGCCCCCTGGTGTGCAAGACAATGGGTTCCTGCCAAGCAGTGCCTCAGGGGAGCCTGTGCTCCAGAGCCCAGAGGGGCCACACAGAGGTCCACACAATCTGCCATGCTCCAGGCCCACCTGGCTGGCTCAGGCCTCCCCTTCTGTCTGGGGACAGACAGGCTGTCATTTCAGAGTATCTCAGAGCATCTGGACGGTTTCCAAGCCTGCTCCAAGCTGAATGCACCATGGGGAGACAGTGCTCTGTGTGCACCAGAGAGAAGGCGCAGGTTAGCGGCTAGGGCTCCGGACCCCACCACCAGGCTGCCTGGGTTCCTCCTGGCTCCCGCTCACCAGCTCCGGGGCTCAGGGTGACCTTGTCACGTGTGCTGCCACACATGTATGTGGGAAGGGGTGAAGGAGAGTCACATCCGCTTTTGGGGCAAGCAATGAAATGAGTTAATTAGATAAGATCCTGGAGGCATTTGCCTCCAGTGGGATCCGAAGAACATCGGTACACAGCAGGGAGGTGGCTTGGGCTGGCTGTGTCCATACGCACATAAAATAACCCTAAGATCATCATTCTCTGGAGATGCAGAAGCAAGCTACCAGCTTCTGGGAGACCCTGAAAGACCTGGAGCAAGCTGCGGCCCAGGGGCCAGACCACGTGGCTTCAGAAGAGCCTCACACCCATTTCACTCAGCTTCTGAGACTCAATGGCAGCATCCAGGACAGCATGAGCAGCAGAGTAGGGCAGCCCAGTGAGCGGCTGATGCCACAGATCGATCACACACAGGCTAAGGCAAGGCCAGGCCTGAGAACAAAGACCGCCCAGGTGAGCCCCGTGACCAGGCTGCTCCAGCTCCGAGGACAAGGAGCGCCCCAGCAAGCCAAGCAGACAGGCTGCTGGGCAGCAGGGTGTCACATGACATCGACCTGCCCAGGATATAAACACGCAGTAACCACTGAGCTGTCCCTTTTCTCCCATGTGGAGAGGGGGCTCCGACTGGCCTCAGCTTTGTTTCCTAACTCTTGTCTTTATATCTTCACCCTCCACTGGACTTCACCCTGAAAAGGTCTAGAGCTGCACTGGTCAGGGATGGTCAGAGACCATATCCACTGCCACACCACTATAACAACGACCCACGCAGGGACAGACAACTGCTCAGTGTCCTCCCTCTAACTGCAAGCCAACTGAGGAAGTCCTGGAGCTCCGGGTCCAAGCTACCCTTGGGTCCGCTCTAACACAGACAAAAGGGCCAAGGGAGGCCCACACAGTTCCAGCCAGCAAAAAGACCACAAAAATCACAGACAGAGCGCACGAGTAGTGTAGTGCAGTGACACAACGCATGTCTAGGATGCGTGAGGCCCTGGGATCCTCCCCAGCACTGCAAAGAAGGACAGAAAAGAAACAAGTTGGGGAGGACCTTGCTGAAAGGCTGTGTGGTGAAATGCTGGGATGGGGAAGGAGCACTTGCCTCACCAGGGGAAGGCAGGACCTTCCTGATCCCTAGTACCAAAAAGGAAATGAAACAGAGCTCCAAATGCTCCAAGCCTCAGAACAGACCTCACTGATCTCGCCCAGAGCACCCAGATGAGGGAGGGCATCTCAGGCGGCACCACCCCAGCCAATTCCCAGGCCCGGGTGGCAGGGAAATTCATTCACCTTCCCAATACCTCCTGGTGCAGAGGGCTCAGGCTTGAGGCGGGGGTGCGCAGGTGCAGGACACCCTGGAACGTGCCCAGGGGAAGTGTGTAACGGGTCCTGGGAGGAAGCACACACTGCGGTGAAGTCTAGGGAGCGGCACTCCAAGAGCTACAGCGCCACATAGGGCACACTGGAGAGCAAGTTAGAACGCCCACTCCAGTGCTGGAATCACAGAAGGCCTGGCAAGTGCCTTGCAGGGAAACCAGGCATCTCGGGCGGTTGTGGGAGGAAGGGTGCATCAGAAGCAGGCTGGTGAACAGAATGCCACTCAGGGTGCGACAGGGCACAGGATGCCTTGGAGGTGTGATTTAGAAGGCTCCAGACCACAAAGAGGAACTGTGTCACAGGGGCGGGTTTCCTCAGGGATGGTCACAGGAGATGAGGTCACAGAACAGCATGTAAGGGCTAGGGAGTGTGCGGGAGGGAGCAGGGCATGGGGATGGAAAGGCAGAAGGCAGGCAGAAGGACAAGCAGGCAAGGCTGGACCAACACTGCTCTGCCCGCTCCTGCCACAGCCCCCTAACGCTGCACAGAAGCTGAGAGATTCACAGTCACAAAACCGAAAACGCAGGAGCAAAAATAGCCAGCTCACAAAGAGGAGAGAGACTGAGAACTGGACCTGAGTCCACACAGCAAGGACTGAAGACCAAGGGCCTCACGGGTTCCCAGGTGACGCTCACGAGACTGCAAACCAGGAAGGGTCGCAGCCAGCACTGAGGGCACAGGGGCAAGCAGCAATTCTTCTTGACAGAGACTTGCTGCGGGAGCAGAGTCAGGCGCTCAGAAAGGTAAGCCTCGGGACCTCGAGGCCTGACTCCCAGCCACGGGAATCTGCAGAGGCGAGGCCAGGCTAGGCCTCTTCACACTTGCGGCCATCGCCCCGTGGCATGCAGACTTACCCTGCCAGTGGGACTCTTGAATATCCCAATCTTTCCAGCCTCCAACACCTGGTACAGCTCAGCCATGAAGTCCTTCTGGATGGAGTAGGGCGGGAAGGGAAAGGGGAAACGGACACCACCGTCTTCCTGGGTTTTGTCAGCCATGGCTTGAGAGGAAAGAAAAAGATATGCCTGTTACTTCTGTGACAAGCAGTGTACACGTGCCTCCTGCGGCCCCACGCATGTGCTGGGTGGCACATGTTGCGGCCAAGGGGGCCACGTTCTTTCCGTTTGCTGTATACCTGCCTGAGTCCACAGTCAGGCATCTCACCCACAGCCTTCAATCAGCAGCGGCGGCAGCAGAAGGAGCCCAAGAAGGCCGCCACCCTCAACTCCCCGAAGCTCAGCCCTAGCCAGATGCTCTTCTGACACCTGTCTGTGGTGAGCAGCAGAGAAACAGCCTCTTCGACAGCTGGAATCTGGATGATGGAATATAGCGGCATGAGGAAGAGCAAGAGGAGGAAGAGGAGCTTGAGGAAGAAGAGGGGGAGGAAGAAAAGGAAGAGGGGGAGGACGAGGAGGAGGAGGGTCTGCAGGACTCAGAGAGGCCCTGAAATGAGAACGAGAGGCCCAGGGAGAGCGACGAGGAGGGCAATGCACAACAGGCAGGCGCAGCAGGGCTTGCTCCTGGACACTCGCTCAGGGCAGGGCGCACCGGACCCGCAGAGGCACAGCGACTTCTGGCGGTCCCCGAGGCCTCCGCAGGGAAGCACACCGGTGGAGCAGGCAGTGGACGCTGTGGACTAGGGGCTGGTGAGTTACTCAGGCTCAGAGGCCCCCAGGAGCAGGTAACTGGCCAGGAGACCACCTGGAGAGGGCCAGCAGAGGTCCGCGCTCAGAATGCCTGCTGGGCCGGCTCCCTCTAGTGGCCGCAAGCTTTAGAGGAACGTTCACCCGAGCACCAGCGGGCTGCAACTTTGTCTTCTTCTTTTCTTTTTTTCTTTCTTTTTGGATTGTTTTTATACCAGAACATGTACCTAGCAACTTTCTTTTCTTCTGTATCTCTTTCTCCTTTCTTGCCCGCCCGTTCCTTCCATCTTCTGCACCTGTTCCCAAAGCCTGCATAATCTTTTGTCCTCCAGCCTTGCTTCCAATCCCTTTTCTGCCTTTTCTCTGATTCCCTTGAACCCATTTTAATTTTCTTGTCTGAAGGTAAAACTGCCACACTGAGGCAACTTTTATGGTGCACAGTTTTCTGGTGTAGTTTTGATTTGCTTTGTAACTACAAATCCGGTTCGTATGGTTTAAGGTGGCAATTTAATAGTTACCAAGGCTGTCATTTGCTGGGGAGTGTTGGATGCTGTTGCTCTTACTCACTGTGCTACTTGGGCCAAGGCGACATAACTGGTCTAATCAGTTGCGCTTCCTCATAGGAGAAGACTGAGACCGCCTGAGGACCATAAATAGTACCACAGGCCAGTGCCGGAGAACCAGGAGCAGTAGGCCACCCGGGCAGCAACTCGTCACCCCAATAATTTAAGCCGCAGGATCTTACAACAGACCAAAACCCCAAGCCAGCTACAACTGGAAGACATCTCGGAAAAGTACTCGTTTCCTAAGGGTTCCAGATACTAGCAATGAAGATATCTGCCATGAATAATTTATAAGCATCAAGGCAGGAATTACATGAAGTAAAAGATAGAAAATGGGAAGACAAGGAAGGCAGATGCAAGCCCAGATCAGCAGCTCCCCAAAGGCGACCCCAGGGGGCAGTGCGATGGAGTGAGGTGAAAGCGACCCTCTTGGACTGTGCAGTGATATCAGGGCGAGCATCAAAGCAAGTGAATGCAGCTTCAGATAAAAATCAAACTGGAAATAATTTCTCAGACAACTTGAGATGCTGGGCACAATGAAGAGCATGATTAGTACTCTAGAGAAGATAAACATAAAAAATAGTGGAGCTGGGCCAGGGAGATGGCTCAGTGGAATAAGTGCTTCCCTGGCAAGTGTAAGGGCTTGAGTTCAATCCCCAGTTCTGGAAAAAAAAAAAACACAGAGGAGCTCAGGCAAGTGCCAGCACCTCAGAGGCCCAGGCAAGAGAATCGCCAACAGTTCAAGGCCAGGCTGGGCTACAGTAGTGAGTTCAAGGTCAGTAAACGCTACAGAGAAAAACCCTGTCTGATAAAATTAAAAACAAACAAAACCTACACCGAGGTATGGAACAGTCAAAATTCCAGAAATTCAACACAAGAATAGACTAAAAGCTGTTAAAGAAAAACAAATCACCTATTAAAGAAGGCCATCAGATCTACAGCAGACTTTTCAATGCAAACCCTTAAGTCAAGGAGAACCTGGAGTAAAGTATTTCAGATTCCAAAAGAAAACACAAAACTCTTTCAGAGTTAACGGAGAGATAGGATACTTCCATGACAAAGCACAAGTGAGGAAATCAATGACCACCAAACTAGCTCTACAAAACATTCGGAAACATACTTTAGAAAGAGACAATGAAGACTACAATTCCAAGTGCCAAGATCCTAATAAAGGACCATTGAGATAGCTCAGCGGACTAAGTATCTGCTTAGGCAAGCGAAGGGACAGGTATTGATCCCAGGTGCGGTACTGGCCCTGACCCCCGGCTTGCTGAGCCAGCCACAGAGACGGGGCGTGGTTGTGCCCACCAGTAATCCCAGTGCACGGGAGGCTGAAACCAGGAGGATCACTATGAGTCAGATCTGGGTAGTGAGACCCTGTGCACCCTGTACTACATACATCAAAAAAAAAGCAATTCACAGACTGAAATTAAAAACATGGAAACAATATTTCATGTAACAGGAACCCAGAAGAAAGCATGAGTAGCTATCCTATTTGCAGACAAAGTGAACTTCAAGCCAGGACTGTTCAAACGAGATAAAGAAAATCACTACAAACCTGAAGAGGAAGAGCTAACAATCATAAATATGCAAGCACCAAATACCAGTGCATCGAAATGTATTAAAAAATATGAATGGACATGCAAACAAACAAACAAACAAACTACAAAGGGGCTGGAGAGATTGCTCAGCAGGATAAGTGCTTCCCTGGCAAGTGCAAGGGCCTGAGTTCAATCCCCAGTTCCGCCCAAAAATAAATAAATAAATAAATAAATAAATAAAAATAAAAAATATGAATGGACATGAAAAAAAATCATATTGTATGGGGGACTTCAATACCTCACTATCAAAAATAGATCAACTAGACAAGACATCAACAAAGAACTGTCAGTTCTGACCCAAACTGTAAACAAATAAACTTAGTAGATGTTGACAAGTGCTCCACCCCACGACATCAGACACACTCTCAGCAGTGCATGGGATGTTTACAGACCAAAACAGATCTTATTCTAGCCCACAGAATGTGCTTAAGTAAATGCACAGGCACTGAAATTGCTTCGTGCATATTTGCAGACAATAAGATCCAAATTCCAAAGCCCTTTCATGATAAAAACCCTGCAGAAGGTTGGAATAGACAATCTTTATGTCCATCTGATAAAAGCCATCTATGACAAATCAAAGCCAACATCACATTAAACATCAAAACCTGGAAGCTTTCATCTAAACTCAGGAACAGGGGCTGGGGAGATGGCTCAGTAGAATAAGTGCTTCCCTGGCAAGCACAAGGGTCAGTGTTCAATCCCTGGTTCCGCCAAAAAAAGAAAAAAGTAAAAATAAAAAAAGATAAACTCAGGAACAAGACAAAAATGTCCACTGTTACCACAACTGCTCAATACAGCTGTGGAAACATCCACCTGAATAATTAGATGAGAGATAAATAAAAGGAATTGGTACAAAAACAAGTTACATTACATTATTTGTGCATGACATGATAGTCTACGTAGATAACACCAAAACGTTCAGCAAAAGACTACTAGGTTTACTAAATGAATTCAGTAGCATAGCCGGATACAAAACTCATAGCATTCCTGTATAAAAATTAATAACTAACTCACTAAGAGAGAAGTGAGAGAAACAACACCTTTCACAGTAACATCCAAAAACAACATACTTAGAATTAACTGAAGTAAAGGAACTTTGTGTATTATTCAGAACAAGCTACCTGCTCTGAAAACTCCACTGCTTCAGGTTGTAAGTGCTGCCTGCGCCACCTCTGTGCACCTCAAACACTGGAGTTGATGGGAAATGTAGATGTCATTTTCAGCTTTGCTCCTTTGCTTTGGGGTGAGAGGAAAAGAGAAATCTGTCACAGGCTCATGGGCTCATGACAACCTAAACTGGTGTAATTCAAGGTTGTAGGAGTAGAAGTGGATTCTGCAAGTGGGTTAAATCCTGGCATGAAGACACTTGGGAGAATGAAGCAGTGGGAAGCAGGCTACGTTACACAACTCCACACAAGCATTACTTCTGCAGGGAAGCACAGTCACTAGTCTCGGTTCCTGGCTGCAGGTCGGCCATGTGTACCTGAGCACTGGAGAGCACGTGTGCCTGCTTCAGCACATGTGACCGGTACACAGAGAACACAGGTCTACCAGGAAAGTTCTGTGGCTCCGACTCTTGGTCATGGGCCTGTCAGGTGCTAGCTCCTAATCTTCCACTTTGGAAGGAACACAACCCAAAGCTTCTGGCCTGAGCTTGAGGCTTTTCTGACTACTTCAAGAAAAGCCTAATACTAAGTCCTCTAGTATAACCCACTAGCAGCACTGTAAAGGTATCTGTACCAGGAGCTTACTGACAAAGACTTAGCAGCAAATCTCCCCAGAGGAGGTGGTGCCTGGGACGTTGTTAGCAGTGGAACTGGATTAAATCATAGTTGGTCCAGGTGGAGAAAAGGAGGTGCAAGCAGAATTTCTGTCTGGGGGTTTTCTCCATGACAGCAGAACCCAGATGCAGAGCCCAGGGCAACAATGGTGACGAACTTCTCCTGGGACATGGAGCAGGCTCTGGTCACAGGAGACGGAGCATCAGAGTGCCCACCTGAGCGAGATGAACGTCACTCTGAAACACAGAAGCACATTTATTTACCTGGCTCAGACTGCCAGTTTCCCCTGAAGTCAGCCCTAAGCTTTGCTTATCCATCTAAGATGTGGTCTTTGATTGCTGTCTTCCTCGTCCTGCAGCCCCCCGCCTTGGTGCGTGCTCTTGATAATGAAGCCTGCCTTCACCAAAGGAGCACCAGTGTGCGCAGGGATGGGGACGTGGTGATTGGCTGCTTTTTGTCTCTTTATTTGTATATCTACTACACTGGTATAGAGCCTCTCAGAGATTTCTACTTCATGCCGTAAGTGTGTTCGTTTATTTGTTTGCTTCTGGACGTTAGGATGGATAAAGGCTGGGTCTCTATAGATAGATGCATGAACGTCCTGCACTGCGCTGTTCTGTTCTGCCGTCCACATGTGCGCAATAAGCCTGCCTACAAGATTTCCTTGTCTTCTTGTCACACGTTCAATGTGGGGGAGAGTATTCCTTTTATCTGTTTGTGCTCCTGGCCTCTTGTACTCACTTGTGGAACCTGAGAGAGCCCTCACTCTCCACAGCATTCCCCGGCCCATGCCTTTCCTGTGGCTGAGATGCCACTGCATGGCATCAGGTGAGGTGCTTCATCTCCACCAAACCCGTGGATGGAACTGAATCCTAAGTACCTATTGCCAGGTATCCCCTGAGACAATGTGGCACTTGCTGATGTTTCTCTAACTGTGCATAAATGTGCTTACATTCTGACTACTATCTTCTGATATTTCTACCCCTCCTTCTTGGAGAAACTTCTTCCTGTAAATGTTTAGTTACTATTGCAAATAAACTCCGATTCTGGCCACTGTAAGCTGAGCCCCGAATGAAGGATAAATCGTCTGTAAGACTTTTCCCCACAGTGTGCTTCTTGTTCAGTTAGATGAGTGTATCTTTTCTGTATTCAGACTCTATCTTATCAGATCTCATGCCAAACATATAATTAAATAATGGATTTCCCAAGTGACCAAAGAAATCTAGCGAGTCCCCTTGCTTTTGTGAGGAGAGGCGATGTCCGTGGAGCAGGGATTGGCTGAGTCCTACAGAAGATGCAGTGCACAGTGGTCCTGTGGCAGCTGCCTGTCAGAAGGGTTAAAGCTAAATAACAAAAGATCTTCCTGGTCATAGCACAGTGCAGTTGCCTCGCTGCAGAGATTACGCGTCAGGTCGTTTCGTGGAAACATGATCTGAGCAGAAACTCAGTGTGAGCCCGGCCAGCTCCCGGGGAGTTTCTTACCTGTCTAAAAGATGCAGATTCTTAACCCCGCAGGTACCTTGCCAGGCTCTTGGGGCTTCAGACTCCCTGATTCAGGTCATGCAGAAAGTTGGGACGCTGTCCCTTTTGTGTCAACTGACCCTTAACGGGCCTCATGGCTGGGAGGGCTTTGGGATCCCATCTGTGGAGAGGACGTGCTGCCCAGGCCCTGTAAGCCACGTGACGAGGCTCCACAGCACTGGAATCGGAATGGCAGGCATGGAAGCTCTTCTGGCCGGGCGATGTAACATTTTGCTTCCTCTTTCTTCTGTGTAGTCATGTCCATGTCAGTTACTAACAGTTTACTGAACCTTTTTTAAAAAATAATTTTATTGAGAAACAAATAGCAATGAGACAGTTTCACAACCAATCACTAGCACATTTTCAATAATTAACACACTACATATTGTCTTAGTGGTTATTCATTGTACAAGATGCAGACATGATATCCTGCCCACAAACACTATTAGAACAAACCTCTCTATTCACTGAATTAAGAGAATGGACCTGTATATCTATCCTAACTATTTTGAGTATACTGATACAAAATGGTCGTTCATTTCTATCCCACTTTTTTGATTAATTTTAACAGAGAAGGGCATTCCATTGTCGTTTAAATACTGCAGCTGCATGAATATAGCAAAATATCCCAATATAGTCCAGTAGTCCATAATAGTAGTGGGTTTTCCATAAGACTGAAATGTCCAAAGTTGTTGACTTGAGCCTTTTACAGCTCAGCATATTAATATGGCTTTACTTTTTATACTTCATTTTCATACTTTTCTGCTGGATGGTTAAGACCAAGATAAATCAAGGCCTATATAAAAAGAAATGTAAGTTTTGCATTTGATAAAATCAGTCAAATCCCCTCAGGATTTAACCTGAAACACTGTACTGCAGCTTGTAGATCCTTTGTCAGTGTCAGCCATGTGGATGAGTCACGGCCATTGCTTGACCAATGTGCTCTCTGTGAAAGCCTGAGAGAATGTTTTCTCTCCATGTGATTCTCCTTAGGCACACTACACATCATTGATCATGTTGCTCTGTGGTCTCATAATCTCCTTGATCAGAAAATTTGAGACACAACTGAGTTACGTGATGTTACAGTACAGGTTCTTTTATGTCCTGAGTCTTCACTGACCTTGAAAGGCTAGGGCCAAAATGTTGGCTGTCCTTGCAGCCCTTCTTTTTCTCTAATTTGTGGTCTGGAAATTTAGGTTGTTAACCCTCTTTAAGAGAGGCTTATTATTGTTACCCTACAACATAGGCAGTTGAGCTTAACCTCACTATCTGTCTGGATATCAAGCATCTTAGACATAACACGGAACAGGTATTTTCCATCAGGTATTGATATGTTAAACTTTGAGTCCCTCCAGAATATGAAGAAAAAAGATTAAAAGCATAAAAAAGTCTTAAAAATAAGAATAAGCATTATATATTTTTACACAGAAATTTAGAAATCTAACAATATATGGCCTTGTAGCAGGACAGTCCTCTGACATTTTTTTTTGTCTCTCTTGAATTCATTTATTACCCCTTACTAAACCTTGTTATTGTTTTTACCTTCGTGCTGGAGGCTTTCCTTATTTGTGAGTCCAGGTCCCAACACCAAGGAGCTGTGACTGTGCTTTCTTCAGGGCCACACCCCATCGGGGAGCAGGGACAGCGGAGCAAGGACTTGGGGCCTTGTCCTTCTGCAGATGTGATCTCTACCTGTCTCAGTCTCTTATAAGGACCAGGCGTCTGCTTGTGTGCTTGCTCCTGGATAACTCTCCCATGTTTATGTAGTTTCTGAGGCAGAGCCTTTCTGTTCTGACTATCCTACTGGCAAACTCCAGGGCTCAAGCGCTTCCTCTGCTTGAGCTACTGGTAGCTGGCATTACAGGTGCTCTTCATTGTAGTCTCGATGAATGGTTTTCTCCCATCATTTGCTAAAATGTGTGTTATTAATGTGCTCAGTACAGAAACTCTGATTCTCATAACTGCTTCAGAGTATTTTCTTGTTAGTGACAGATCCGAGCTATTTTTGCATGTTTGACAGAGAGAATGCTGCTCAAAATTTCATAAGTCCTGTGAAAGAGTTAATTGCTCATGTCACGTTTAGAAATGTAGAAGGATTTTATTTGATGAGGACATATTATTAGTACAAAATCCACTGAAATCTGGCTTGGGGAAGTGGATTCTAAATAGTGGATGGCCTAATGGGAGTTTAGGGCTAACCAGGGGATAGAGATCACTGCACGAAATTGTACAGGCCATAATGGGGGAGCCTGGCTGGCCCCCAACCCCAGAGGGTCCCACCAAAGTCGGCCCCCTGTGATCAGAGACCATTTCCGTGTAGTCAGGAGTGAGAGACTGAGCAGATACCAGGATAATCCAATTTCGAGAGTAGCTCAGGTACGCAGGACCCGTTTCTCTTCCTAGGAGGACAGCACACGCTCCCTGCTCTCCCGTTGTCCTCTGCTGTCCCCTCCTATGCTCCGAGGATCAGGCTGCCTTTGCAGTTGGTCTGCTCTAGATAAAGTGAGAATTTCCATTCTGTGAAAATAAAATATTACTTGTTCAAAATAAAAATGTTTACACATAAACAATTTGTCTAATTTATACCAACCTTATATTGCAAAATCTAATTTTATGAATAGAAGGATTTGTTCTAATAGTGTTTGTAAATAGGATATCATGTCCGCATCCTCTACAGCAAATAACCACTAGAAAGAATGTATGCAATGTGTTAATTATTGAAACTGTCCTACCAATTTGGTTTGAAAAAAATAAAAATAATTTTTTTTAAAAAATCTAATTTTAATATTTTAAAAGGTGAAAGATTTATATGATCTGAAAAGAAACAAGAGTATTAATTTTAATATTTAAAAGAATCATATTGCTCAGGTATGCAAATGCAGTGGCCACAATAGTTATACTGGAATCCTTTTTTTCTTTTTCTTTTTTTTTTTTTTTTGGCAGAACCAGAGATTGAACTCAGGTCCTTGCACTTGCCAGGGAAGTGCTTATTCTACTGAGCCATCTCCCCGGCCCTGGAATCATAATAATACTTTGACTTTTCTGCACCTAAATGTTGATACAAAGTAGCATTATTCTGTTTCTCATCATCCTGCTTTCCTTACATAATATTTTCAATGCCTGCTAATTATTAAGCCTGCATAATTTGTATCCTTTCCAACTACTGTATTTCAATTCTTATCCACTGGGCGATGTTCCAAACTTTCTCCTTAACTGCTCCTGTCATTTGAAGATGGCACCGGATGTGTGATACTCAGAGGAACGCTCTCTGATTAGAGCCACAATATATGAAAGCGTAAAATGGCTGTTTGAAGTTATATACTCTCTAAATTACCATATGCATATTATCAAACTACATACTGAACCAAAATAATGGGCATTTCCAACCAACCGCTCAGGACAGTAACACTTCCTTAACTTTTGCAGTGACTGCCTGACCTAAGCTGAGGTTAACCAAGTGGCATCGTGCTGACATACGGGCATATCATTTATGGACATTAGCATTGGGCCTATTGAATGCAATACCTCAAGAATATTTTACTCAATGACTTATTTAATTTGTCAGCTTGCAAAAAGCCTTCCAATTTGTTGAAAATGTTTTGCATATTACAGAAAAATATTTTTTGACCAAGTATTTTAAAAATGACTGACTAGGTTTTGCTTGTTTAAATATTTTACCATAAGCCATGCTTATCCAGAAATAGAAAGGCCTAGAGAGACAGCTCAGTAGAAAAGCACTTGCCAGAAGCACGAGGTCCTGAGCTTTAGTCCTGGCATCGCGAAAAAAAGAAACACCTATGAGCATCTAGGTTGAAGAAAGATAGCCAACATTGGCCCATTGCTTTTTCAAACTTGTAATGCATCTCATAGTGTTAACGTGTGTACAGTACTGAAAATACATTTGTGTTCTTGATTACTTTTACATTTAAAAATACATAGTACTTCTGGAGCATATTTTATGATAAATTTGTGTTCTCACTTAATTTGTTTTCACAATTATATACTTTTCTTTTTTTTTTCTTTTCAAAGTTTTATTGATAAACATATAGCAATGAGACAGTTTCAAATCAAATCGAAAGTACAGTTTCAACAAATAATAC